CGGAGCCGCCTCCAGCTCGGAACTGGGGGCCACGAGGAAGTGGGGGGGGAGCCCTTTGGGGGGGGTTCCCCCCCGGGAGAGTCGCTCTAGGGGGCTCCGCGTGTGTGTAGCCTGGGGAGGGGACTCGCTCTGGAGCCCGGGCTCTGTCTCTCGCAAGGCGGCGATGCGGTCGGGTGTGCGAGGGGGGACCCGCTTCCCCCAGCAGGGAATGACGCTGGGAGCGGGGTGTGAACTGCGGGTTATGAGTCATCCGGCCTGTGAACGAGAACCGGCCCGTGCCCTGAGCAAGCTCCGAGCAGGCCCATCGGACACTACAGCCACCCAAGATTTAGCACCGATAACATGCTAGGCCGAGAAGATGGGGGGGGCTAGCCCCCCACCCACCCACGGAAGAGGCTGGAGCCTCGCAGAATGGCCGGCCTGCCTCCACCCTCCATCCCCACGCAAGCAAACAGCCCCTCGGATGCGCCAGGCTGGGCGAGGGGGCTGCGAAACTCCGGGGGGCTCCTCCAAAGTGGGGCAGCCCCTTTCTCCACTGACTCCCTGGTTCCTCCTCCTCTGCCTCCCCTGGTCTCCTTTCAAGTCTGAGCCGCTTTCGTGACGAGCGCGGGTAATGTCATTAAAGTGACACAGTCGCCCGAGCGGATTGGAGGAGCGCGGGGGTGACACGCCGCACAAAGCCGTGTTTGCTGGAGCAGCGGGGCGGGGGGCGATGGAGCCTTTAAAGCAAACAAGAGTCCGGCAGCCAACGGCTGCCCCGGGCTGCCCAGCGCATCTCTCCTAGTCCGGAGAGGTGAAAACAATAGCACGGGCGGTTAGCAATGCAAAGCGGGGATGGGCTCCCGGCCTTGCCCGCCCTCCGGGAAGGCTGCTCCGCGGGCATCTGGACTCGCCCCGGAGGGATGCGGGAGCAAGGGCAGCACAGGCCGGGGGATAGTCAGGACACACGCGAGGCGGCGTGGGGCGCGCCTCGCCTCGGCCGCAAGGCCTGGCGGTGGGACTGTCATTGACAAGGCGCTGGGGGGGGCTTTGGTCAGTTTCTCAGGCCGGGACCTGGCTCCCACGAGGGATTATTCTCCCCCGTGGGGGAGGCTGCGGGGCCAAGCGGCCCCCCACGCTGCAGTGCGTGGGGGGAGCCCAGGACACACGCGAGGCGGCGTGGGGCGCGCCTCGCCTCGGCCGCAAGGCCTGGCGGTGGGACTGTCATTGACAAGGCGCTGGGGGGGGCTTTGGTCAGTTTCTCAGGCCGGGACCTGGCTCCCACGAGGGATTATTCTCCCCCGTGGGGGAGGCTGCGGGGCCAAGCGGCCCCCCACGCTGCAGTGCGTGGGGGGAGCCACCCCGCA